TAATAATATTCTAAGATAATAATTAATAAATAATAAATAATAAAATAATAAACTAATAATTAATTCATTCTATAACACTATCTAGACTTTAGCAATCTACGCCACGGCTCTACTCATGCACTCAGAGTTAGGGTTAACTATTGAACCTCTATAATTACCTACTTCTGCCCTTATTAGGTTCACAACAACCCTAATACCCATATTTGGTACCATCTTCTTACCCGAATTCTTTATTGGTCTCTTCCTTACTTCTAGCCGGCAACCCGGCAGGGTCAGTCTGCCCAGACTTTAGGTGTCTGAAGGATGCCCTCCTCTTGGTACATACTTTTGAAACGTATGCCCTTTTCCTCTGGTGCGACAGAACCTGGCAGTTCAGCTGGTATGTTCTCTGCCATTAGGACCTGATCATTTGGTTCTCCGATCTTGGGCCCCAGTTCGAATTCAGCCCTCATGTAGTATTGTTATAGATCATCACTATTCCTTAACTCGGGACTTCCCAAATGGGTTTTCGGTTATTCCAGTTTCTCGGCTTTATTGCGCCATTGCTCCCATTACTAGATGGTGTGACTAAAGTAACAGATTTATCTAAGATCCAACCAATAATCATAACCGTTAACTATAATACAAGCCTATTTTTCAAATTTGTCGTTCATGGAATTTGAACTCTAGACTTGCCACTTGGAGAGGGTGATGACTAGACCACTACACTAAGTCACCACACCTTTTAGAAATTTTTAAAAAATTTTAGGCTAGATAATATTATTAAGAAAAAATGTACTTGTCACCACTGGCGACTGTAACCAAACATGTGACAATATATAAATAACCAATCAAAATATACAATTATTTAAATATAGAAATTTGATATTTTGATAATCTTTTTTGTACTATTCGCAAAGTTTAAAATCATAATAATACAACAAAGATTACTACAATAATTATTATAACAAAGACTGCAAAAACCACTAAACAAAATACCAAATAAAAACTACAATGGCTACTACAATTATAATAACTATAGCAACAAAATATAGCAATAATTAAAGCAAGAATCACTATATAAGGCTTTTATTGCTATTACTTTTTTTTTAGTGATCATAGCAATAACTACGATAATAATTAAGCAAGAACCTCTAAAAAAATTTTTTTTAACGGCTATGTATATTATTAATAGCTATAAAGGTATAAATATGAATAATTTATTTTATAATAATGATAATAGTCATTAATAATACGATGTAATAATAAACTTTTTATTTTTTACTTAGGTGTTAGTTAACTATACATCCTGATAATAATAAGATAACATGGTCTAGTGATAGTAATGATATAATATTATCTAATGATAATGATAAAATAATTGAAATAATACAGTCTTGTTATAATGATAAAACTAATAGTGAAGTACTAATAACATATTCTAAAAATAATACATACTCAAGCCAAAATAGCGAAACTATAGTTGTAGAAGATTCAATTACTACATCTACTAAGTACTATATTTTTATTTTTTTTTATTATTTTCTATTACAAATTTATATTAATTTAACTCTTCTATATTTGATTTTTTTTAATTTAAATTTTAGTTTTTCTCCACTAGCATTACCTTATATTGGTCAAGTTTTTAAAACATGGGATGATGCAAATAATTATCTTCATGACTATTCATGGCAAAACAATTTTGTAGTTATTAAAACTAGAAATAATTGAAACCCTCCACCAGAACAAACTTGTAGACGACGTACTTATGCATGTGATTATCAAGACACTTATATACCTAAAAAATCTGTAATTTTAGAAAACCAACGAAATAGCAAATCAAAAAGATCTGGATGCCCTTGGCATATTAATGTGAACTTTCCAAAAAAAGCTGTAATTATCAGTATAAAATCATTGAATATTAATCACAACCACCTACTTAACCCTAAAACAAATTTATATACTACAAAGAATCGAACATTACCTGAAGCTGTTATACGAGAAATTTCCTTTTATACAGCTGAAGGAAATCTAAATGCAACAATTCAACGCAAACTTTTGTCTGTTAAGTTTCCTGATATTACAATATATCCACGCAATCTACAAAATTTAATGCAAAAATTCAAAGCAGCTAGCCGAGAAGAAAATGATGCATCAAAACTTCTAAAATGGCTACTTACTAAAAAAGCTGAAGAACCAGAGTGGGAAGTATTTTGGGAACTTTACAATAAAACAAAAAGCCTAGATAAAGTATTTTGGATGTCTCCAGAACAAGTTCAGTTATAGATTACCTACCATAATGTTATATTGAATGATAATATGCACAAGACCAACCAATTCAACATACCACTTTTTTTATTTATAGTAGTTGATAATCATTTCCGTAGCCGCCTAGTTGCACAAGCTTTAGTAAATGATAAAACCAAAGAAACTTATGAGTGGCTTCTTACTTCTACTTTACAAGCAACAAATTATGCACCATGAGTTTTTGTTACTGATGCTGACCCCGGAATGGATGCTGCTATAGACACTATATATAGTGATTCATATCCACTTCATTGTATTTATCATATTTCTCAAAATCTTATACGTAATCTTAAGGCACCTCTTGATAATAAGTATAATAACTTCGCAAAAGATTTTTTTTTATGTCGAAATGATCTTTCTCCTGCTGGATTTGAAAAACAATGGTGTAAACTTATTGCTATATATTCTAATGCAGCTAAATACCTTAATTCTGAGCTTTATCCTAGTAAGGAAAGGTGGGCCAAAGCATACACAACAAAATTCTTCACAGCTGGCATTTCATCAACATCATGTGTAGAAAGTGAAACTCAGTAATCAACGATTATGTGATGAGGCACGTTATGTTAACTACAATGAGTGGTATTACGCTAATGTAAGTGCTCAGTTGAGTAGTGCTTCTGCTGAATGCTTTCCTGAAATAGATTGTATTCTTAAAGAATACCTTACTGAGAAAATACTTTCTCAGCAAAAACATAAAATTACACAATCACTTTATTATTATACAATTGTAGAAAACAATAAATTACATAATGACAAATCTACTGAGGAAGGTTATGATACGCAGCAAATTCACTTGACTTCTCTTCTTGAGGATATTCCTTCAGATAACATTATCAAAATATATAGAATTCAACGACGCCATTGCATTCATATTAATTTTGTTGTTCTCCTTACTAATTATTCACATTTATATACATGCATGTTACTTGTTAACTGAGACTTGGTTTGCTGATATTTTTGGCATGTATTCTCTATTGATAGTGTAGCATCTTTCCATATAACACTAATTCCTAGACACAGATATAAAAATGAAAAAATGCAAGACTTAAGTTTAGATGAAAAACCTTATATGAAAAATTCCGGTATAATGGAATCAAGTGAAGGCTGTCTACCTTTTTCCTATGCACCAAATTACTAAGATCCATGGTGATGATGTTTTTAGTCCAGAGGTTTGCCGCACTGTTCAAAAACGCCATGATTATGAAGAAACTTTTAATCTTGCTCGGAAGGCGGTTTGATCTGCAGTTGAGACAGGTGGTGAATCCCTTTACTGCCTTAAAAAAGCCTAAATGAGTAGTTTGCTGAAAAGCAAAGGTTAACACATATTAATAACAATGATAATGACAAGGAAAATTTTGATCCAAGCCAAGTCGAAGACCCAATTGAAAGACAACATAGAGGGCGACCTTCGGTTAAGCGGCTTAAGAGTAGCACCGAACAAATCAAAAGTAAAAAGCCTGTTATGCAGAACAAATGTGGTAAATATGGGATTGCTGGACATTATGCTCCGACTTGCAAGAAATAGAGTATGGTGAAAAAACATGTAACTGGAAAGCAATTAAATAGTTTTAGATAGAATAATTATTATCTTAACAACTCAATAAATTTAATTGTTCGGTGATTCTTATCTACTGTTTATATTGACAGTGATTTTAGCTCTGGCATTGTAATGATAGTAAAAGACAAATTATAGCATTATATTACGAGTAACTTAAGCTTCGCTTATTAGAAGATTTTATATGCTAATCAATTACTACATAGTGTCTGGCCCATATAACAATATGAAGTTTAAATAATCATATTTCTAGATATATTAATTCATAGCCTGACCCATTTGCCATATTATCTTATTTAAAATAGACCTATTCAAGATTATAATATTTATTTATGTCTTATTCGATTTTATTTATTCGCATTAATTAATCAGTAAGTAAAAACTTTCTTAATCGATAGCATTCAGGATTATAGCATTTACTTATACCATTTTTTCAGTTCATTCTATTCCCTTTAGTTGATTAGTTCAAGATCATGCAAACTTCTGAATTTTATCTTATGTTAATTAATCATTGAGTTATTAGTCGCAATGTTAGAATAGATTATTCAGGGTGGTATTTACCGCACGAGAGAAAACTTGTCATCGAGCTTTCAATTATATTTTGTATCTAGTTTGTTTTCTGAGCGCCGTCTAGAGAAAATCTATTATTGGGCTTTCAATTATATATTTTGTCAAAAGATAATTGAAAGCCCGATGATAAATTTTTCATAGACGGCACTCAGAGAACAAGCTAGGTACAAATAATTGAAAGCTCAATGACAGGTTTCTCTAGGTGACACTCATTTCTCTTATTATCATTAATTTGTTTGCGAATATAAAATCTTTTATTTATTGATAGATTTAAGGTAAGCTATTAAAATCATAGCATTAATTTCATATTTCTTTCAATTTTATCTTATTCATTATCAATGTATTTAAGGTAGGTTATTCAAGATCATAAAACTAACTATTCCTCTTTAAACTTCAAAATGTTATTGATTACATAAACTTCTAATTGTCTGGGGTTCTTACCATTACACCCTTGATTCGCTAACACCAGTCTCGACATCGCAGTATGTAACTTCCACCGATTGCCACTTCATTCCTCCAACCTCATTCCTGAACTTCTGGACTTTTTTCAAACTAACTTTTACAAGTATCAAAGCTTTTCTTATAGTAAATATTTGCACTTAATAAAGTTTCTTTTCAACTCCTCACCTATCACCACATTAACAATGCCCTTAATTTTATCATTCATTTCAACATCATCATCAGCCACAACTTTACTTTTGATTCCTTCAACATCATTCTGGTATCATCATCAAGATCTCTTCGCATTTATATATCTGTTTCACCATATATCGATATTGCTACACAAATAGTAAACCATCACGAAATCCACAAGGTTGAATGTAAACAACATAAACCTAATAGTATAAGCCATGCAACATCTGTTAATGGAGGGGTTCCTTATATTTGTCACTTTCAACCTCAATTCTAATATTACTTATATCAGCAGATTCTTGGGAACAAACAGGCATCTTAAGTTCATGCTTGTTGACATCAATGCAATCGTTTGTTTCTCAACACGATCCGTTGACTACCTTCTATTTATCCTTTTCAACAATTACAGTATTCATCTTGTAGTAATAGGTATGGGCCAATATGCATTTATACGCATGATTCCTGAAAAATATACATTTTCCCTATGGCTTTCGTTTCTTTTCTTTTTTTTTTATACGCGTTCATATGCATTACTCCGAAAAATGCATATCTTTGATGATCACTAATCATGATTCATCTCAACTGGTTTTAATAATAGATGAATGTCTTATGTTCTACTTTTTCTTACTGATTTCGTCATGATAATGCTATTCAAGATCTTCTGTTTCATCAGCATGACTGATCTCAGCTGATTTCTGATAATGATATTCCCTTTCCAGCAATAATACCATTTTAATTACTATCTCCAAGATTAAGTTGACCTGACATGTAACTTTGTTCACTGTTTTGAGTACATGGGGTCTTTACCTTGAAAATAACCTTGGGATATAGTAATGACTATACTATATCCCGTAAGTTATTTCAAGGCAAAAACCCCATATACCTGCATTTTCACGAAAAAATTTATGGGTATTTCGAATAATGGCCCGAATTCTGCTTAATTTAGGACAAAATTTGAAATTATACCTTAGGCATTATTTTGTGAAAATATAGTACACTGATTATTAAAATCTATTAATTCTTTTTGCTTATCATTTTACAGGTCAGACCATTACAACCATTATCATTAAAACCTCGGTTATCAATCGTTTAATCGTGTCCCAGTTATGTTCAAAATGTTTAACTTTTTCATCAAGTTTATATAACCTTTGGTGCCTTATTATCAACTTACCAACTTACCCATAGCTTTCTGGAATTTCTCGTATATTGGATATGTATTATTTCTTGAATTCAGTTTTTCTTTCCTTCAGTTTCAGTATTATTATTATCTACATTATCACCTGATTCCTTTTTATCTACACTTTCACCGCCAATTTCCGCTTTAACACATAACACCAAATCCTTGGGCCTCTTCATTATTTTGTGTATATATGTAGTAGAGTAAGCCATTCAAAATCATAGCATTATCATATTTTTTTCAACTTGAATTAATTACTTGAAGGTTTATAGCTATGGTATGACGCTTATATATTACTATAGGGTTAAATATCTATTTCTTTCTGCTCTAAAAATGGTTAGACAATTAATTTTCGGATCAATTGATCCAAAAAAATTGGTTGGTGCACTAGCGAAAGGTTTTCATGCGAATTTTTAGTACTAATAACGCTCTTTCTTACCTAATATAATAGTAGAACCTGACTCTACTAATCTAACAACAAATTTTTTAGCAAACTCTTTTAGGTTAGTAATGTTAGGTCCTAGCTAATGACGATTTTTCTAACAAATTTGCCTGTTTTAAGTTAGAATTGTTTTATAATTAGTGTTAGTATATATCTTTAGTGAATGATTATTAATGAATTCTTAAAATAATGATTCGGAGTTATAGTAGTTTGTTTTTTATATGTACAAATATTAGACTAATAAATTTGTTTTTTAGATTTTTTAATTATAATTTGTGTGTAATTTGATTGATCGCACATGATTCGGAATTGTCACCTGCGGTTACAAATAGATTTACTCTATTATTAAATATAAAAGTTAAATTATTTAATTTAAAATTAATAAATTATTAAATATAGTAATTTTATTTTTAATATAGTAATTTAATAAATATTTTTCAAAAGTTATAAAATTTTTAAAATATATACAATTTGTTATGCTAAATATCTTTATTAAAAAAATTAATAGTTTATTTGATAAAATTAAGTTTATATATTACAATATTTAGTAATTTTAATTACTATAAAATATAGTAAAATTTAAAAAATTATACTAATTTAAAAATCTTAATTTTTATTTAAATATAATTATTTTAAAAACTATTGTAAAAAATTTTGTAATTTTTTTTTTATTTTCATTTTTTTTTAATGTTAAGGAAACCTCTTTGGTCTGAAAGCTTTTATTAGGATTTGAAATGATGTTATACAATTACAACAATGATATATCAAGCTACATATGCACTTTTGGTGTCTAATTTAAGTAGTCTGCCTGAAGGTTCTACACTAGGGTGGTTGGCAAGCTAGTGAGGCGAGCTTTTTTTTATCTCACCAAATAGTGGCAAGACACTTGCCATTATTTGGCGAGCTAAAAAAAAGCTCGCCTTGCCAGCTTGCCACCCTATTCTACACTATCTGCCATACCTGCACCCCAACTAGAGGGGTACTCATTTAAACTATCTGGTTCCAACCACCACTATTTAACCACCTAACCTAGAGTTTTCTTACTATTTATATATAGATTTTGAATATCACCCAAATGGATACACTGACTGCCTTAGGACTTACTAACTATTTCTAGCTAATCTATTCTTGAGGTAAACCTAACAGAGTAGTATATGTTCTACACATGTATTCATCTGTATGTTTTATAATGGCTTCCAATTATATATATCTTATACTACCTTTTAGAGTGCTACTGTTTTACAGACATTTCTCAAGTACCAACTTTTCTAATTAGATGTCTATTATATACTTTTGCTCTTATTCTGTTACAACAACCCCAATATCTATATTCAAACTATCTTCTTATCCAGACTCTTTATCAGTCTCTTTCTTACTTTTAGCTGGCAACCCAGAAGAGTTAGTCTGCCCAGGCTTTAGGTATTAAAGAACACCCTCCTCTTGGTCTATACTTTTGGAGCATATATTCTTTTCTCTAGTACAACAATCTGGAAATTTAGCTGGTATATCCTTCACTGAAGAACCTGGTTACTCAGTTCTCCAATTTTAGGCCCCAGTTTGAATTTAGCCCTCTTGTGATACTATCGAAGACTACTGCTGCCTTCAAATTTAGGTCTTCCCAAGTGGATTTTCAATTATGCCAGTTTCTTGGGTTTATCACACCAAAGCTCTCATTACTAGATAGTATAACTGAAGTTACAGATTTAGTTCTAGATCCAACCGATAAGCATAGCTATCAACTAAACACAGGCCTATTTTTCAAATATCATCATTTATGAGATTTGAACTCTAAACCTGCCACTTGGAGAGGGTGACAACTAGACCACTACACTAAGTGACTATACCTTTTCTTTTTTTTTATTTAAATGTATATATTGTACCCAAATTTGAAATTGTTCTAATTCAAAATCAGGCTATTCCAAATAAGAATTTTGTAAAATATTTTTGCAAAATTAGGGTTTTAGGGTTAGAGTTAGGGTTGGTATTAGGGTTAGAATTAGGTTTATAAAAATTTTAATTTTGATAGTACTGTATAATTTTAGTAAAAATTACAAAATTCTTATTTGGGGCAGCCCCGATTTCGAATTGAGACAAATTCCAAATCTGGGTACAATATTTTTTACAAAGGGATACCAAATTTTTAGGTCATAATAGCCAGAATGCAGCATGGTTAGAGTCGGGTTAGGGCTAGATTAGGAAACTATAGGCTATAGTAAAATTATTAGCTGGGCACTTTCACTTAATGAACGACTATTGTTTCATTAGTAAAATTCTTAGTGATCTTGAAGCAAAATTGATCAACTCTGGCCCTTCTGAGCAAAGTTCCAAAGCTTCTGACCCAGAATTTTGGAATCTTCTTGTAGGAGTTAAACCAAAAACCAGTTTCTAACCACCCAATTCTATTTTTATCTCTAACCTTAAAACCTATTCCTAACATTAAAATTCAATCATATTTCTATAGCAATTAATTCTTTACCATTATACAACACTCCAAATAATTTCATTCGCATTAATAATCTCATTCAATCTGCAACTATAAGTATATAATATCTTTAAGTTATTTAAAGATCAGTGCAATTAAAAGCTAGCAAATTAATATCACAATAAGAAATATAAATACTTAGCAGCACATAATATCTTCCAAGTTAGTGTTCCACAAGATCATTTGAATTCATGATTTTTAAAATTATAAAAGGCGTAAAATCTGAACTGGATCTGAGAATCTGTCTATTTGAACACAGATCCAAATCTATACTTGAACCCAATCTGAATTTTCAGATCAAATCCAGGTTCTTGAAAGCAGTGTTGTCACTCAGACTCAGACAACTAAATATGTTTCCATGAATACTAAACTAAGGGCATTCTCAAGCGCCTCAATTAATAAAACAAAGTATGTCAAAAATGTGATGAGAATTAAATTTTAATTAACAGAAGTAATTTTAATTAATTAATCAAGCTTGTCATTAAGATAAGTAAAGTAGTTTATTATGTGAAAATTTTTTTTTAAATAGTAAAAAATGATAAGTGAGTTTGTTATTTCAGTCAAAAAACTTTTTGTCCCTAACCACCTTTTTTTTTACCCTAACTTATCATAACTTTATAAATATAAAGTATTGTTTAAGTGTTTTTATACTTTTATTATAAAATTTTATTATCAACATATATTTTTTATAAATTTTCAATAAACTATATAGAATCCTCTCGTTGCAATTGAGCATCACTACTATTATAAAAAAATCATAATAAGCAATGTTTGAGCATATCTCAATAATATCGTTATTTGTATTATTGACTTTTATCCAAAATATTATTATAATACTTGTGTACTATTTGGATCACTATGAAATTGCATCTCGATTGATGCTTGAGAACACAATCTATATATTTGTTAACTAAAAAGTATACTTTAAATAAAACTTTAGAGAAGGTATTATTTTAGGTTTTACTATAATACTTTTACTATATATATACTTTTAATTTATTTGCATTTTCTAATATACTAAAAATAGATTTTATTTATTAATTAATATACTATATACTAAAAATTAATTTATTTTGTGCTTTTAGCATACTGTAAATTTCTTTCGCGACTCTATATTAATTGGTTTTAATAGACAAATATATAGTATTAAGAACATAAAATGAATACATGTGACATTGATATAATATAAATAATGCAATAATGTAACTAATGTGATTTTGTTTATCACTATTTTCAAGCAGAGGTCTTTTTCGGTTTTTAACAGCTGCCCTACCTTGTTTGGTGCGTCAAAAGTGCGTCAGGGGTATGTCAAGTATAACTTGGGTTTGTATAAGGAGAGCATCTTCCTGCATATCAAATAGTTTCCAATTATATAATATAATTAGAAATTTATTTTGTATTCGATATTTAGAAAGATGCTCTCTCTATGTGCCCGATTCACTTTCGACGCACCAAACAAGGTAGGCAGCTGTTAAAATCAAAAAAAACCTTTGCCTATGTTCAATTATAAGTTCTAAGGTGAGATCCTTTTATATCGACAATATTCATTGTCATGAGTTAATCTATTACCCTTAATATGGATAAAAATACTCAGGATTGTAGACATAAAGGATGATAGTAATAAGAGATACGAAAATGATAATCGAAGAAGTGATGAAAAATGCCAGTGTGGATAAACCAAGAACAAAAGAGAATGTAAACATTAATTCAAGTAATCAAAAAACTGCGAATATGAAAGAATGAACAAATTTAGAAACAAACCTGAAGGCTCAAAGAAAGAAAGGGTTGAATATCATCAAAAATTAGCAGATATAAGTAATATTGAGGAAACATTCATGGTTGAATATTGTCATAAAGATGAAAGTGGCTTCTTCCTTTCGATAGCCTTTGTTCAATGAAGAGTGATGCTCAGGTGGTAGTAAAAATTTAATCAACTGTATGTACTCATCTGATTCTATATCGTAAAGGTGAAGCATAGTATTATATTCTGTGCCAATAACCATATACCAGAATTTAAACGAAGATTGTTCTGATGAAAATTCTCCTCTATCAACAAATAAAACAGAAGACACTTGCTGTCCATCAAGAATAATTTTGTGCACAGTAGAAATGCTTATATCAGATTCAGGTTCTTGATTTAGTGTACTGAAAATGACACAATCTTCGCTTGTGGCTGCCAAAATTGTTCTGTCATAAAAAAAGGCCAAGTCACTAATAGGCTAAGAAAATATATAGACATAAGATATCTTAATTATTTAAACATATAATACTAAGTAAGTATAGAATAGTCATCAAAGAAGATAATAAAATATTACCTAATCAGTCCAGTAGAAAAAGGGTTAATCAGGTAAGCCGAAATCTGATGGAGTTACTGTTGGCTTTTACCACAATGACAAATACATACAGCAGATCGAACAGAATAACTTTTAAAATAAGTATTTTAGAAATTATAGAAGATCTGGATAGTTGGATGACAAAATTATATAGTAAGAGGGTATAAAATATCTGCGAAATAATGCCTATCTGTGTGCTGAGAAAAATAACATGAAGTATTAATTCTTTATCAAAAAGCTTTTGATAAGGAAGTGTCAAAATTGAAATGGTAAGTATAACAAAGATCGAATGAGAAAAAAAATCCTACCAAAGTGTATGGTGATTGGCATGAAAATATAAAAGGTGTCGAAAAATTTGCTGATATGGAAATGCTAAATTTATCAACATATAATCGGAGACGAAAAAGAGTTGAATATCACTTGCTGATTCAAAAAGACAGTGGAAAATGAACAAAATTGTCCATGATTTAATTATTGTTACGATAAAAAAATTTATTACAATGGCACACAGGATATAGGTAAGGAATTAAGAGGTAATATAGAAAATTTGTTACAGAACTTACTTAACATAGTATAGCTAAGCATGTGTTGGTTGCACTGGAATTATAATTATTTCTATTGTTACTGTAAAAATTCTGTTGCAAAACTTAATCGCTATTCTGTTTACAGTACATACATTGGTCTCTATCACGAAAAAATTCTACATATTACTAAACATATTTACTATTCAGTAAAATATATTGTGTGATAGAGTTAATTAGAATACTTTATGAATTACTACAAAAAATTTTGGTGAAAAACTTACTCGCTATTTTAGTGATGTAGAGATAATTTAGAATAGAATTCTTCATTAGGACTTGCTCGAAATTCTAGTAACACACAGTATGAGGTTAAGGAGTGCTGGTTTGCAAAAGGATTAATATGATTTTGATCGAATTATAAAACTTACTCGTAGTAAGTGATTAAAGATAAGTTAGTTTACATTAGAATTATAAACAATAGTACATAGAATATAAATAAGGATATAATAGATTGTATCGGCGGATTAGTATAATTTTGTTAAGTTGCAATAAAAAGTTAAGATGTAGTTAGTTTGTATCAAAATTATACAATATATTATGAGGTAAGATAATAACTTGTTACAGAACTTAATCATTATTCTGGTAATATGGCATAGCTAAGCTTAAGTCGGTTGTATTGAAATTAGTATAATTTCCATTGTAATTTACTGTAAAGAACTTGCTCACTATTCTAGTTTGAAATGAGATTAGCATAGTTTTTAAGTTACTATAGAAAGAACTTACTCAATATTCTAGCGATCTACTGCAAGTAGTTAAAAGAGAGATAGTCTACATTAAAGGTAGTATAAAAAATAGTGTTGAAGAATGTATAAGTAAGTCTCATGATCTTGTAAACTATTAAGTATATAAATTTATATAAAGAGCATTGGCCATACTCAGCATTGTGGTAACACAGTATATAATTAAAGTTATTTGCTTTGGGATTAAAACATTTCTATTGTAGAATAATATAAAAAAAATTTTGTTAGTTATTTATTCGCGTTAATTATGTATTTGTCTTGTAATATCAAGACTGGTAAAATAACATGTCAAAAGTAGCTATTTGTTACATTTTATGATATACAATTAAAAAAAATTATTTATACAAATAATCTAAACATTATTGTTACATACAAATTTTTTTAGTATATAGTTATAAATATGTATACCTTTAAAATTTTAATATTTTATAACAAAAGTTGGAGTTTTTATCAATTTAAAAGTGAAACAATACTATTTAAATTGATTTAAATATTATAAATATTTATAAATATCTAAAATTAGAATGATAAAATATATATACCAACAGAGGTGTGGCAACTTAGTATAGTGGTCTAGTCATCACCCTCTCCAACTGGCAGGTTTAGAGTTCAAATCCCACGGATGACGATATTTGAAAAATAGGCTTGTGTTTCAGTTGATGGCTATGCTTATCGGTTGGATCTAATCTGTAACTTTGGTCACACCATCTAGTAATGGGAGCAATGGCGCAATAAATCTAAGGAACCGGCATAACCGAAAACCTATTTGGGAAGTCCCGAGCTAGGAATAACAGTGATCTTTGATGGTATTACAAGAGGGCTGAATTCGAACTGGGGCCCGAGATCAGAGAACTGAATGATCAGGTCCTAATAGTGGAGGACACACTAGCCGAATTGCCAGGTCTGTCACACTGGAAAAAAAGAACACATGCTCCAAAAGTATATACCAAGAGAAGGGCGTCCTTTAGACATCTAAAGCCTGAGCAGACCAACTCTTCTGAGTTGATAGCTAGAAGTAAGGAAGAGACCAATAAAGAATCCAGGTAAGAAGATATTTCAATTGCGAGTACCAGGGTCATTGTGAACCTAATAAGGGCAGAAGTAGGTAATCGCAGGGATTCAATGGTTAGCCTTGACCCCAAGTGCATGGGTAAAGCCATGGTGTAAGTTGCCAAAGTCTAGATAGATATATGTGTAAGACATGTGATATCTAGCAAAATGGAAATATCCTACTATCCAATGATCTGGAAGCACCCGGATTTGGTGTAAGCAAACTACAGATGCAATAGTGAGGTAAATAGGGGTTATGACAACTATATCGGGCTGAAAGGTTTGGTACGTTTCACTCAAAGGGGTAAATAGAGATTTAGAAACTGTAACACCACAGGAGAGGGACCTGGAACATCTGCAGTTGTTGATAACTAATTAGAAAAATTATGGCTTGAGATACAGACTGGGTTATAGCAGCACCCAAAAAGGCAGCTTGAGATACGAACTCAGTGATAGCAGCATAACATGTACTAATTAGATTAGAAATTACCAATGATGTATTGAATTTCTGTTGTAAAAAAATGTGTTGTATACTGCATCCACTATAATAAGTAATAAAGAGGCAGTATTATTAAAATATATATATATATATATATGCCAACTAGTGTTTTTAATAAAAAGATTAAATTGGAAATAAATAGATTAAATTAGAAATAAATAAATTTCAAAACAACTATTTATTAATTTAAATTGAATTTAGACTAGCTTTAAATAAATATTGTTCTTTAGTTTGTTATAATTCAAGAAGTTTAATATGCTTCACACCTCTGTATTAAGATTATATATCGCACTTTAATATGATTGGCTAATTTTGCAAATCATTATTTATAAAAAAATAAACAAATTTTTATTAGTTTTTTTTAGATTAATAGATGATTCACCACTTAATAGAAGCATGATCTTAGTAAAATGTGACTCAGATTACTATATAAATTTACTATAGTGCGAATGTGGCAATCGTCTAAGATAAACTTTTTTTTATACTAAGTTAATCATCTTTCTTGATTAAGAAACTTTTGTAAAGCTTGTCAAGACGCATCTAATGGTGGTTAGAGTGTCAAAATCGGCCTGGTGAGTGCCAAAATATCTTTAAAAAATAGTTCTTTTACTATATAAACTTTTTTACAAACAATAGTATTGTTTGCAAAGAAGTTTACATAGTAAAAGAACTGTTTTTTAAAGATATTTTGGCACTTACCAGGCCGATTTTGACACTCTAACCACCATTAGATGTGTCTTGACAAGCTTTACAAAAGTCTCTTAAGAAAAAATAATGATTAACTTAGTATAAAAAAAGTTTATCTTGGACGATCGCCACATTCGCACTATAATAAATTTATATAGTAATCTGAGTCACATTTTACTAAGATCATGCTTCTGCTGAGTGGCGAATTATTTATTAAAACCAACTTATAAAAAATTAAGAAAACAAGTAAAATTTTTTTGCAATTATATACAAAATTTGATACTGAACAAGTTTAATTAGAAACAAAAAAGAATCTAGAGAAATGTAAAAAATATGCAAAAAAATGTGAAAAAATACAAATATCTTTAAATTTTATTATAATAACCTTTTTAATGTTTCTAAATAAACTTGTTTAGCATCAAAATTTGTTATAAATACAAAAAATATTAATGTTTTTCTTGATTTTTCTATAAGTTTTCTTTAATCTAAAAAAAAATAATAAAAATTTTATCAGGAAACTAATATGGTACAGATCTGCACAAATTTGCAACTCTAGAAATTTTTAACAAATTTCATGATAACTCAACAACACAGATGCTATTTAAACTTTCTCAATGAGATAGATTGAATAGTACTAAATTTATTAAAATTTGATCACTAGATTACAAGATAATTGCATTTAAATAAATTTTGTAGCCATTCTATGATCTTGTTAACTAGTAATTCAAATTTAACAATTTTGGTACTATTTGATTCCTTTTGATGATACAGTTTGAATAGTATCAAAAATATTAAAATTAGATCACTGGTTTGCAAGATATTTGCAAAATACGTTCTATGGCGCAGTTTGCATAGATCTATACAAAAAAAATTCACAAATCTGCACAGAAATACGACATAAAATATATTTTGTAAATATCTTACAAACTAGTGATTTGATTTTAACATTTTTGGTACCATTTGAACTGTCTTATTAAACAGTACCAAAATCACTAAATTTGGATTACT